GCAACTAAGCCAGTGTGCCACAACTACTGAGCCCACGTGCCACAACTACTGAAGCCCGTGCGCCTAGAGCCCGCGTGCCTAGAGCCCGCGCACCACAATGAAGACTAGCCCCTGCTCCCCGCAACAAGAGAAAGCCTGCACGCAGCAACGAAGACCCAACGCAGAAAAAAATAAAATAAAAATAAAGACCATCAAGTGAAAGAGGATTCAGTTTATCCTCTGTGGCTCCATGGAACATAGCTAGCATCACTGCTACTAGCGAGTTTCAGCTTAAAACGAGAAGGATTTAATTGTTGGGTCTGTGATATCCACAACAGAGCAGGCTGCCTCATAATATAGTGAGTTCACTGTCGCTGGAGGTGTGCACACAAAACTGGATGAACTCTCAGAGAGTATATTGTGTTGGGGGATCCTACTGTGTGGGGGTGAAGGAAGAGTTGGTGTCCTTCCAACTTCTCTCCAATTCTTAAATCTGATCAAGTCCATAGGACAGGTTGGGAAGGGCAGGAAACTGGAGGTGGGGAGACCAGAGGAATTGCAAATTGTGAGTTATTAAAAAAAAAAAAAAGGAATGGAAGATTGCATTATTCTGAATTCTTCACCACTCCCTGTACCCAATCCCTTTGCCATGTGACTTTGAAGTCCCTCCCACTAGAGACAGAATACACTTTCTTGTCCTGCTAATGTTGGGTTGGCCAAGTGATTTGCTTTGGCTCACGGAGTGTGAGTAGAAGTGACCACTCCAAGCATAGTCTCTAAGAGGCAATGGATTTTTTGCTCACCCATCTTGTGCTTTTGCCATTACCATGTGAAAAACATGCCCTTGGTAGGTATCACAGAATAGAGACACATGGAGTAGACTCATCTAGCCAACTTACAGACCTATAGCCTTAAGCAGAGCTGCCCCAGCTAACACATGGACACATGAGAGAGAAATAAATGCTTTATTGTTGTATAGCACTTAGATTTGGTGGTTATTTGCTATGTAGCATCATTATGGCAATAAGACAGATCGGACATTCCAACAGACTTTCAGATACAGTATTGAAGGCAGTTCTCAGGCTTCTGCTGGCCTTTCTAGGATCTGAGGAAGTAGCACTTGAGGGAAGGAACTCATCCCAACAGATTGTGGGTATATCCTGTCCTGAGTATAGATGTTGCTGGGAATGGATGGCCAAGGCCACTTTGTGGGGCACAGACCCAGTGCTGGAGGCACTTTGTGGGTTTGGAGTAAAGAGTGAGAGGAGGAAGCCAACCTCACTTCAGGTCATGGGAAGAAGTCCAGCTGGACACTCAAAAGAAAGTGTGGATGGGGGTACCATCCTGAGAAACAGTTTGTGTTGTGGTGGATTAAAGATGAGCACAAATTCTTTACCACATCTCTCATCAAGAGGTGAAGTCTATTTCCCCTCCTCTTGTATCTGGGCTGGCTCTGTGACTTGTTCTGACTGATAGAATGTGGCATATGTGTCACTGAATAACTTCCAAAACTTGACCTTAACAGATCTTCCACTCCCTCCTATGCATTTGGAATATGCCTTCTTAGAGTCTAGCTGCCATGCTGTTAGGAAGCCCAAGCAGTCATGTGGAGAGGTCCACATGGAGGAAAACTGAGACCTTTGGCTAAGGGTTCCAGCTAAACACCCAGACAGCAACCAGCACTAACTTTTAGCCATGTGAATGAGGCCATCTATACCCTCCAGACATTCTATTACCCCAGCCAACACTATATGAAGCAGAAAACCACCTAGTTTTTCTAAGAAACCCCAATCAAGGTTTTTGACTGCAAAAACAGCTTACTCGGGTTTCCCTGGTGGCGCAGTGGTTGAGAGTCCGCCTGCCGATGCCGGGGTTCGTGTCCCGGTCCGGGAGGATCCCACATGCTGCCGAGCGGCTGGGCCCGTGAGCCATGGCCACTGAGCCGGCACGTCCGGAGCCTGTGCTCCGCAACGGGAGAGGTCACAGCAGTGAGAGGCCCGTGTACTGCAAAAAAAAACAAAAACAAAAAACAGCTTAGTCAAAGTAAACTAAAACCTAGAGAAAAGATTAATTCTAGGGCACTCCCAGTAAAGTTTGGATAAAGTCAAGAATGTGACTGTGACTCTTTACGATCTCATAGATTTCAAGCAGTGTCTTATAGACCTCTCAGCTAGACAAAAGTGCTTCTAAGAATCTTAAGGATTTGTCCCATAGTACCCCGACTCACAGCCTAAAGAAGGTAGGAACTTATCTTAAGATTTGGGGATATAGTTTTTGTCTAATGGAGCGAAACTCAATAAGGTTCATGGGAAATGCACAATATTTTTGTTTATTTTCTTCCCCTCCAAGAGAATTGTACCAGCATAAGTACCACTAGCTTGGACTAAAATAGGCAAAGACAGTTCAAATGAAATGAGGACACTGGGCACTTAGCGAAGCAGACTGAACAAATTACTCTGCTGCAAACAAGGGAAAGGAGGAATGACCCAGAGGATGGAGCCAAGAGCCCAGAGGGTGAAGCGCCACAGAGAATCACATTCCCTGCTCCTGGAGCAGGGGGAATTGGTGACATTTGCGCTATTGGATCTCAGATTTCCTAAAGACCTAAGGACCGCTATGTACCTTTTATTACCCCTTTTTAAGTGGGAGTTTCTATTACGATTTTCCTGTCTCTGTCTTCCCATTGTATGTTGGATCTGTACGGGAAAAGATAACTTACAGGAAAGTTGCAAGTTTAGTACAAATACTTTTTTGGACTCTTTGAGAGTAAATTTCTGACATGATGCCACATTACCCAAAACCTTATGTGCATATTTCCAACATAACCACAATCATCAAAATAAATAAACATTATATGTTACTATCATCTTTTTTTGTGTGTGTGATGGCCCAACAGGGCAAATACTTTTATTTTTTTTTAATTAATTTTTATTGGAGTATCGTTGCTCTACAATGTTGTGTTAGTTTCTAACGTACAGCAAAGTGAATCAGCTATATGTATACATATATTCCCTCTTTTTTGGATTCCCTTCCCGTTTAGGTCACCACAGAACACTGAGTAGAGGTCTCTGAGCTATACAGTAGTTTCTCATTAATTATCTATTTTACACATAGTGTCAATAGTGTGTATACGTCAATCCCAATCTCCCAATTCATCCCATCCACCCACTTCCTCCCTTGGTGTCCATTCATTTGTTCTCTACATCTGTGTCTCTATTTTGCAAATAAGATCATTTATACCATTTTTCTAGATTCCACATATATGCGTTAACATATGATATTTGTTTTTGTCTTTTTTTTTTTTCTCGGTACGCGGGCCTCTCACTGTTGTGGCCTCTCCCGTTGCGGAGCACAGGCTCCGGACGCGCAGGCTCAGCGGCCGTGGCTCACGGGCCCAGCCGCTCCGCGGCATGTGGGATCTTCCCGGACTGGGGCACGAACCCGTGTCCCCTGCATCGGCAGGCGGACTCTCAACCACTGCGCCACCAGGGAAGCCCTCTCTTTCTTTTTTTTTATATGTAACTCTTTTTTTATTCTTTCATTTTTAAATGGCAGTGAATTGTTTTTTTTTTTCTGTTCCTTTTATAATTTTTTTAAATTGGGATATAGTTGTTTTACAATGTTGTGTTAGTTTCTACTGTACGGCGAAGTGGAGTTCCCTGTGCTATACAGCAGGTTCTTATTAGTTATCTGTTTTATACATATTAGTGTATCTATGTCTATCCCAATCTCCCAATTCATCCCAGTCTCCCCTTCCCCCCATTGGTGTCCATACATTTGTTCTCTACATCTGTGTCTCTATTTCTGCCTTGCAAACTGGTTCATCTGTACCATTTTTCTAGATTCCACATTGTTTTTCTCTTTCTGACTTACTTCATTCTGTATGACAGTCTAGGCATAGACTGTTGGGGCCAGCTTCACCCTCACCAGTTCCCTGGTGAACGACTCTTGAATTTGTGTTCTAACTACAATAGTTCTTCCCCTCTTCCCTTCCCACATTATCAAGATGATCATAAGCATTCATTAACAAGTATTTTAACAAATATCTATTCAGTACCAACTACGTGTCCGGTTCATTTCTAGGAGCTGAGGATATAGTAGTGAACAAGAGAGAAAGTTCTTGCACTCATGCAGCTGATCTTCTATTGAGACAGACAGACAACAAACAATAAATTAAATGTATAATTCTGGGTAGTGATACCTACTCTGAAAAAAATCAAGCAGGTTAAGCAGCTTTGGTTGGGGGACTATTCTACATAGTGTAGTCTGAGAAGACCTCTCTCATAAGGTGACATTTGAGAGATCTGAATGAAGTATGGGGCTAAGTATTTCATAAGTGTTTCAGGCTAAGTGAACAGCAAGTAAAAAGGTCCTGAGGCAGGAAGTAACAGGGCAAGTTCAAGGAATAGCAGCAGTTAGGTCAGTGTGGCTAAAGTACATAGAGCGTGGTAGAGGGTGATAGGAGAAGAGGGTGGGGAATAGAGATAGAAACCAGATTAGACAGGGCTTCTACAAAGTTGGAGTTCGTTCTCAATAAAATGGCATGAATTGATTTGCGCTTACAAAGATCTCCCTAGCTGCTGTTTGGAGAATAGACTGGGGAGGGGGCATGGTGGAGGTAGAAGCAGGGTGACCAAGTAGGAGGCTACCTTATAACCCAGGTCAACATGATGGTGGCTTGGTCCAGGACAGTTAGAGCAGAGTTAGCAAGTGGTTAATTCTGATAATTTGAAGGTAGCACTGACAAGACTTGCTGAGGGATTGGAAATGGCATTTAAGAATAAGAAAAGCACATTGAGGACAACTTTTACGTTCAGGGCTTGGGGGAAATGGATGAACAACAGTGCCATTCTCTGAGGTAAGTACGAATGGGAGTGGAGTGTAGGGCGTAGGTGCTGAGTTTGAGATGCCAGTAAGAGGGAGTGGAATATGAGTTGGTTGGTCAGGGCTGGAGATGGAAAATTTTGCAGTCATCAGCATACAGGTATTACTGAATATAAATCACACTCTTTTCTGTGTAGACAGAAAAGAGCATCATGGACTATGGCCTGGGGCCTTCAACAACCAGGAAAAAGAGAAGCCCAGAAAAGAGACAGAGGAGTGGCCAGTGAAATGAGGAAGATCAGAAAAGCCTGATGTCCAGGAAGCCAAGTGAAGAAAGTAGATTCTGTATGATCACAACCACATGTCAACTCCTGAGCCTCAGTTTTCTCATCCATGAAATGGTGAGAGTAACAACTGCCCACTTCATGGTGTTGTTAGGATTGAGGCAATGTATGTAAAGCAGTTAACACTTGTGTCTGACTGGTATATAGGAAACTCTCAGCCTATGGTAGCATTGTTATTATTTCCTCCACTTCAGAGTAGGCTGCCACAGCCCTCAGCTTCCCCATCCACATAAGTGACAGCACCTCCATGAGTCCTTCTCAGAAATGAGGTGTCCCTGCTCACTCAGGCAACCAGATGGGCCTGACGAGTGGCCTCTGGGTCAAATTTGAACCAAGTGACTTCAGTGCCTAAACCTCTCACCCACACAGCTTCCAGCCCTTACTTGCAAATCAACAAGTGGTAAATAAAGGTTTTAGAGCCAGAATTCTGCCTCTGCCTCTCACCAGCTGTGGGATCCTAAGCAAGCTTCTTAACCTTCCTGAGCCTTGAATTCTATCTGTAAAATGGGAACAATTCCTACTTCATGACATTGTGTCCAGGCCCGCGCGGACTGTAAATAAAGCCGGCTGATCTCCTCCTGCATGGCGGCGTGGGAGTCACTGGGGCTCTTTGACACCCTCCCACGCATCCCCACAACCTAGCTGGGCAGGTCTCTGGGATCCCCTAACCTGCGCTGTAGGACAGTGAGCTCAGAGAGGTGGAGACTCGTCCACTTTCTTTTCCGCAGGGCGCCGGATGAGCCGCGCCTAGTTGCTGGGCCCCCACCTCGGTAGAGGGGCCTAGCTCGGCCAAGGGAGGGGGTTCCGAACGTCCCAGAGACTCCCTCTTCCGCTGTCCTACCTCCGGCTGGGCGTCGAAGCCGTTTGCTGGGCAACCCTTCTCCGCCCCTCTTCCTGACCCTCCCCCCAGGTCTACCGAGGTCCACCGTCAGGAAAGCCGCCGCGGCCCCCGACCCCTCAAGACCACGACCAGTCTGCTCTGTTCTCCCTCCTCTCTGACGCCGCACTGCAGGCCCAGGCGCATAACCCAGCCCTTCAGCACCGCAGGAAGTGGCGGCTCCTCTCGGGGGCAGCTCGGAGGAAGAGGAGGAGGAGGAGGAAGCGTGGCTTAGTAGGGACCGAAGCCCCATGGGGCAGGCTGCGGAGGAGGGCGGCGTGAGGACCTCAGAGCTCAGCTCCAAGGCTGCGGGCTGCCAACTGCCGCCCCGAACGGCTCCGCCCCTGCGGCCCACCCTCCACAGGCCCCGCCCCGCAGCTCGGCCCCGCCCCATACCGGCCCCGCCCCCAGCTCCTGTCCCGAAAACGCCGCTCCTATGGGCGGCCCTGCCCCCGCTCCGCCGGCTGCCTCGGCCTCGGCCTCGGCCCCGCCCCCGTCCGCGCCAGCCCCTAGTCTGCACTTTGCTTGCTGGGCTGCTGAGTCGGCCAGAGTCTGAGTTCCGCCGCCTGCCCGCCGGCGCCGCTCCCTCGTCCCCTCCCCCGATCCCTCCCCCAATCGCAGTCTTGTGGCAGTGTCTGGCCGGAGGCCCGCGGGCGGGCCGCCCTCCCCGCGGTAGCCCACCCCCCCTCTTAAAGCGGCGGCGGGAAGATGAGGTTTCGGGAGCCGCTCTTGGGCGGCAGCGCCGCGATGCCGGGCGCGTCCCTGCAACGGGCCTGCCGCCTGCTCGTGGCTGTCTGCGCGCTGCATCTTGGCGTCACCCTCGTCTACTACCTGGTCGGCCGCGACCTGAGCCGCTTGCCTCAGCTGGTCGGAGTCCCCACACCGCTGCAGGGCAGCTCTAACGGCGCCGCCGCCATCGGGCAGCCCTCTGGGGAGCTCCAGCCCCGAGGGGCCGCACCGCCACCGCCTTCGCGCACCTCTTCCAAGCCGCGCTTGGGTGGCGCCTCCAACCCCGACGCGGACTCTCGCCCCGGCCCCGGCCCCGGCCTCGGGAGCAACTTGACTTCGGCCCCAGTGCCCCCCGCCACAGCACTGTCGCTGCCCGCATGCCCTGAGGAGTCCCCGCTGCTCGGTAAGGTACCATGCGCGTTCGCCCATGCCCTCTTCCTCGACAGCCAGTCAGTCTCCCTATTCCGGATCAGAGCCTCTAATCCCAAACAGGTTCTGGGCTGGATGGGGGTGAGAGGTTGGGAGGTGAGTCCCTTCGGATTCATGCTGGAGACTGGGTCGGGGACGGTTTAAGTAAGCCGTAGCCACCGCCACCCACCCACCCCCGATCCCAGAACCGGAGAAGGCCTTGGAGACTTCCCTGCTCTGGCCCAAGCCTCAAGAAGTTTTGGGAGTTTGAGTCTGCTTAGAACTCGGAGCAGCCTTCGCTCTGCTAACTCTGGTAGGGACTACGAGGCAGCTCAGAGTAACCCGCTCTCTCTAGTTTGGAACGCTGATGATGAGGCCTCCAGGAGGGAAGAGAGCAGACCTCCCAGGTCACATCTCCTGTCTTCACATAGAACCACTGTCTCCTGAGTGTGGGTTAACCCTTTTCCTAAGCTTTTGGGCAAGTGACTTGTCCCTAAACCTCTGGTTTTTCATCTATTAAATGGGAATAACAAGTGGTACCTGTTTGAGGGGGGTGTTTTGGAAGATTAGAGCAAACAGTGTAAACAAGCATTTACAAGAATGAGGGTAACCCCTCAGTAAATTGTCACTATTGTGTTCAGTTCCTCCTCTGCTTAGATCCCTGCCCTGGGGCCCTCCTACCCTGCTTCCTGCCCTTGTAGCTTCCCAAGAGCAGGGCCCTCCCAGGGGCCGAGGGTATTTGTACCAGTATAATGTGTGTACCCTGGGGGCTGGAGGGCTAAAATATAATCAGTTAGCACCAAGTTGTCCCTTCCTGATAGCAGCAGCCTGGAGTCTCAGGTATCTTGCCCAGATGTTCTGAACCGGAACTCCAGCCTCTGTTTCAGCACAAGCAGAGAGCTTGGGTCGGTGGGTTTGCATTCCTTATGTCACGAGGAGGCTGAGCCCATGCCCACCGGGACCTCCCCTTGACCTGTAATCCACAGGCAGTCAGGCCCAAGGCAGCCACAGGTTGCTCCCAAGATTACCAGACAGGTGGCTGCTCAGTTTCAATGCCAGGGTGTAGAGAATGTTGTTCTGAGTGAGGGGCCCTGGCAGGAGAGCAGGCATCCTGCCAGTGGGAACTCTGTCACTTTTTCACAGAGCCCAGACAGAGCAGGCCTCCTACCCACTCTTGCTCAATTTCTCCAATAATTACTTCAATATTTTCATATCAAGTTTGGGAGGATGCTCCTGGAACTGGTCAGACATGAATTGTGGTAATAAAGGGGACTTTTTTTTTTTTTTAAAGCAGAAACTTGAATTCTTTTGGACTTGATGGTTAGTCTGGGAAGCAGACTGGTCCTGTAAAATGAAATGGAATCTTTGCCATGCTGCTAAGTGTCTGACCTCAGGCATGTTAGAACTCAGACTCTGAGTTCCTCAGAGTCTCTTTCTCTTGTGTAAAATGGGGTTGTCCATGCTTAACTCACAGAGTTATTTTCAGGACTAAATGAGATTGTGTATGTTAAGTACATGGCAAATAGGACCTGGGACTTGAAGTTTCATTTTTCTCAGACTCTGGAGATGGCTGTGAACAGCAGAGAAGGAGGAAGAGGGTTGGTGAGTTCTCAGACCCCAGAGAGGCCAGATTTTGATCTTTTGTTTTTAATTGTTGCCTGGATATTATGTAGAAGGAAAGAGAAATTAATTAGCCAATTAAAGGAAAGTACCTCAAAGTTCATTAGATTGGTGTTTGAGGTGTAGGATCTTCTCAATGAATCATGAGAGGCAGTGGTGGCCCACCTTGGTGTTGCCCAGTGACTGGGTGACGAGTTACTGCTGTTTCTGCGTTGACTCTGAACTGGCGGCACGAACAGACTTCCTGAGAGATACAGTTTTGGAGGGTAAGGGGAGAGGCCCTAGGCTTTCTGTAGCTTGTCCGCCTTTGTGTGACATGCATGGGACCGTGATGTTTCAGCTGCTGTGGAGGTAGCCCCGGAAGGTGAGGGTGGAGTGTTTTTCTTCACTTTTATTGAGCCCTTGGGTTTGAGGTTTGGGTGCTCTCTAAGTGGAGGCTCCTGGGTAGAAGAGAGCCTTGAGAAAGCTGAAAGTCTCCCGGGGAGTGTGTGGGCTGGGGGAGTCAAGCCCATCTGTTCAGCTGGGCAGGTGTCAGCCAAAGCCATTACGTGGTGGTTTCGAGGTTGGTGGGAGAAAGCATCCGTGGGGTTTAAAGCTGTGGCTTTTTCACTACTTGCAGTTCCTTTCCACAACTGGGCTGTACTTTCTGGTGTCCAAGGGTCTATGCCAGATGCTGTGATCCCTCCGGGCTGGTAGGTGGTGGGTAACGGGCATGCCCTTCCCTGCAGGAGCCAGGCACCAGACTGGGCTGCCGACGGGTCACTGTTGGATCTGTCCTGGGTTGTTAGAGCCTCAGGATAGACTTCAGATAGACTTGGGTTTGAATCCTGCCTGTGTCTATACTGTGCATTAGGGCAGGTTGCAGTGTTTGGAGCCATAGTAGGCTCTGCCCCGGGACACCTGCTGGGCTGCTGTCAGGCTTTCAGGAGTGAGGGCTGCAGAGGAAAGATGGGTCTTTCCTGAGGATTCCTGCAAGTTCCCCAGGGAGTTCTCCCGGGGAGTCCAGGCCTGTAGGCGCTGTCGTCTTGGCCCTTGGGCTGTGCGGCATCTCAGTGACCATGGCAGTGAGGCTCCCTTTCTGGCAGCCTGGGTGTTTGCCTGAGATGTAGTCAGCCTGGGAGGAGCAGCAGCCTTGCGTTGAGTTACTTTTCCCGGAATGAATGTTTATCTGTGCTTAGATTTGGCGGCAGCTCCACGTGACTTGACTAGCACTGGCGCTGCCCGCCCAGAGAGGGGCTGGCTGGGGGCGGGGCGGGGTCAGTACCTCAGGTAGGACTGGTTAGGGGAGGCTGGGCTGACCTGGACAGTTGGTACAGTCTATGGGTGGGAGGCGGGTGGTGGTGAGTATAAGACTGCCTAAACCTGAGGCCGCTCTTGCCCAGCTATGCTTTGAAGAGAGCCTCTTCCTTTGTTCAGAAAAGGACTCTGATCTAGAGGTGGGCACCAGAGAGTCACGGGCACTAGAGAGTCATGGGCACCTGGGCCAGCAAACAGCCACAGGTAGCCAGGGCCCTGGGAGAGCACTTATCCGTGAGCCGTTTTCCCCAGGTTTCATGGGGGGTATCAGCCGAGCCTCTGCCGTGGTTTGTACCCTTGGCAAGACAGAGCACTTGCTGGGTGTCTGCCGGGCTCTCGGCTGTCAGGTGTTTCTCCACCAGCACACTGTTCCCGCTTCTCCCCCTTCCCCCATATGCACGCATGTGGACACAAGCACGCTGCCTGGGACATAGTGTACTTTGAGGACATCTGTCTTGGCCTCAGCTCCGGAAGGGGCTCTCTCTCTTCTTT